AGACCGGGAATCAAACAGCCACTGAGCCACGCCAGCCGGGCCTGGGTGTTCTCCCAGGTGATGGGAGAGGCAGGAACCAATCGAATCGAGTTGCCTGGCCGCTGCGGGAGGCACCGCAGAGGCAGGAGGGAGAGGTAAGGTTTCCAATGGCCTGGCACTGGGATCCCTGCAGCCACCTCTTCAGAGACCCTGCAGCCCCTTCTCCCAGGCTCCCTCAGAGGGCACAGGAGACCCACACATCCGGGGCCTGCAGCTGCTGACCGGCACCACCCAGGTCCAGGACCACATTGGAGCGAGCCCTCGGCCCTGCCCTTCCCCAGGGCCTAGCCTGGCGGGTGCACAGTGTGTGCTGAATGGGTAGAAACACACCTTTCTTCTCTTCTCTCTGGTGCTTTCCATCTACAGTCCCGGGAGGCAGGCGCAGGAAGGACAGCAGGGGCGGGAGGGGCGGGAGGAATCGGCAGAAAGGCCACACTATGGACAGGGGGGTCGGGTGGCAGGGGACTCTGGAGGAGGGTGGGGGTTAGAAACAACCCACAGAGGGGCAGATAGAAGTGGCAGGATATTACTCAGCAAGGACAAGGCGTGAGCTGTGGGGCCACGCAGGACCCAGAGGAGCTTAAACGCCGGTTGCTAGGGAAGAAGCCGATCTGAAAAGGCTACGGGCCGTGTGAATCCAACTACAGGACACACTGGGAAAGGCAAGCCCACGGAGAGAGTACAGACCAGTGGCTGCCACGGGTTGGGGGGAGGAGGGATGAGGAGGTGGAGCACTCCATCATGAAAGACCTCCTAGCAGAGGGGGACCCCATGGTGAGGTGCAGACTTCAGAGAGTCTGGGGCAGGGGGTGGCATGGAGCTCCCTGGAGGGGCTGGTCTGTGTTTAGGACCCTCAAGCCCCCCCCCCCCCGCCACGCCCAGAGGCATCCAAAGTGGGCACCAAACACCCACAGCTGGGGACCCAGCCCCCGACTCTCCCCGAAGCCAGGCAGCTTCATCTGTTTACATTTCAAAACAAAACTAACCACCACCCCTCAGAACATTTGAGAAGAACGCTCAGTCACAGTTAGAAGCTTTATGTAATTTGCAGCCAGAACATCACAGACTGGCGGTCGGAGATGAGAGCTCCCGGCATTGCTCAGCCAGGCCTCGCAGCCCGGAACGCTTTGCACACTCCCTTCCTGCCTCCACGACCGTTCCCTGCGCTGCAACCCAGGCGGGATGGACGGCAGCGTCTGCAGAGGTTGGCGGGCCAGAGAGCAGAAGGCATTCCGGCTCCCCGCTGGGTTTCTGGTTTGGCCACTGGCACCTCCCTCCCCAGAGAGGTCCTCAAAGGTCCGCGAAGAAGGCGGGCAGGTCGGGGCCCAGCGCAGACGGCGGGGCGAAGACCACGAGGCAGGGCGACGCCGTCTCTCCCGGGAAGGGCTGCCTCCCGCCGGCGCCCCTGCGGTGAACAGTGGGAAGCCGCCGAGTCATCACCGCTCGTGCTTGATGTTGGCCTCGCTGCGCTCCAAGGCGACCCCGCTGCCGCTCCGCGGGCCTTCCCTCTTGGTCCCGTCCTTTTCCGCGAAAAACTCGGCCAGCACGGGGCAGTGCTCCGACGCCACGCCGCCCCACGACCAGTTGTCCGGGATCCACGGGTTCGTGAGGCCTTCTCTCAGCACCGCGCAGTGGCCTGGGGGAGCGGGACCAGAGTCAGGGCGGGCCCCCGGGCTGGTGGGCGGGGCCCCGGGCTGGTGGGGCGGGGCCACAGGCTGGTGGGAGGGGCACGAACTGGTGGGCGGAGACAACTGCCCCGCCCACACGGCTACCTGGAGCGCCCTGCCACTGAGATGCCGGGGCCACTCTGATTCTGAACAGGTGACGCTGATCGTTTAGGCCCTGAAAGCCCGCCGTCCAGGCCGCCTGCCCACCCACACCCGTCGGCCGATGGTTGGCCGCCTCCTCGCCACGCACACTTCTAATCTGAGAACAGGAGTGTCTGACACAGGGACAGACGTCTCCCGGGATGACCAACGCAAGGCTGGTGGGGTGTCAGTTCCATAAAAAGGGGAACAACGGGCAAGTTACAGAGGCTTAAGAGCCAGTAAATATTTAAAAACTAAAGATTAAGAAATATATGAAGCAGGAAAACAATGAACTAGCTCCAAAAGCCGGTGCAGAGCAGTGGAATGCGAGGCTGTGGCCTTGGGGCGGAGCCACGTGGGCCAGTGTGAGAGGCCCAGGCCTAGTCTGAGCCATGGCCTCTCCCGATGGTGGGATCTCCTCCCTGCGCCTCAGCTTCTACACCTGAGCAGCACAGCACAGGTGGCCTGCCTGGTGGCTTTCATAGGGCCCTGTGTTCTTGGGCTCTAGGCTGGCTTGGTGAGAACAGTGCCTTCCGTGGCCCCCCGAGCCCCACGTTCCCCCTCAGGACACAGTCCCCCCAGGAAACCAGTGTCCAGGCTGGACTTTCTGGCGCTGAGGACCTCAGCCTGGCTGCGTGTCCCCGTCCCCCAGCGGCCCAGGCCTGGTCCCTCTCACCTGTGACTGTCTCACTGACGTTTCTGTGCAGCCACTGGGGTCCCAAAGCCTCCAGGCAGCACAGAGACCCTGGTTCCTGTCTCTCAGCAGAAGCACCTATGGCTTCCACATTTCTCATTGTTTTCTGACCCCAAACAGTCATCTCAGCAGGCTCCTGTTTTGGGGGTGGGCTGCTTTTCAGTGCTAATTACCCACAACACCCCGGTCCTGGTGGAGTCCTGTCTAACGTGCTTCTCCCGCCTTATCGGTCACCCCAACACTCTGCTCACCCCGACTGCGCTCCTGGGCACTGCGTGTGCGTAACCGCAGGCCACACACAGCCCTGGATGTGACAGGCTGGAGAAATGCTGGCTGAGTGGCTAGGCGTCCTAGACTTGGGGTAAGGTGTCAGTTCATCTCTGAACCGGTCTCTGCTGGCCCATCGCCAGGTCTGCCCAGGACACACTCCATGTGCCTTGTTGTCGGCCAGTGAATGCCTTTCCATTCTTTTTCACGCCCACCTTCACTCTTAAGTGGCTCAGTTGGAATGAGTTATATGGTGACCTGAACTGTAACCCTATCACTGCCCCCAGAGGAGGTGGGTAACTCCTGCCTCCTGCTCAGCCCAGAGGATCGGCGCTGCCGGTTCAGACGGCTTTCGCTTCCTTCCTTCCCGAGCAGGAGAGGAGGCGCGACGGGCTTTACCTGTGAAAACCTTCCTCAGGCTCTTACTGATCCAGATGTTGTCCAGGGACTTGGAGCCCTGCGGGTTCTTGGTGCTGATGTTGGTGAAGGTGTGCGCGGGGACCAGGGGGTGGAATCTTTCTTTCCGCAGGAGGTCATGGTCACTGCTGTCCGGGCCCTGGCCGAAGTCCCCCAGGACAACCACGTCCTTTTCTCCTGGAAGTGGAAGGAAGAAAATCAGGAGAAGTCGTGGCGGGAAGGACACCGGGCGCTGACCACAGCCCATTTGTAAGTGGGACCGCGAGTCTCTGATTTGATGCCCTCAGGGGTTAGGACTGCCAGTGGTTCTCATTCTTCCAATTTCCCCAAATTCCTTGTGCGAAAACCCCCAAACCTTCAAGAGGAGGTTAGTAACACACTGGGTAATGGGGGGCCGTGTGTGCAGAGGTCACCCCTAGTCCAGCTCGTGTGTTCCAAATCTCACAGCAGAAGCAGGCCTAGTCTCGCCCAGAGATTTTACAAAAGCTCAAAGACACATTTCCTGAACACAGAGGGAAAAGGCCCATGTGACGATACAGGGAGAAGGTGGCTGTCTGAAAGCCAAGGACAGAGGCCTCAGGGGAAACCAGCCCTGCTGACACCTTGGCCTTGGGCTTCTGGCCTCAGAACTGGGAGAAAATGCATGTGTTGTGCAAGCTGCCAGCGGTGGTGTTCTGTTACGGCAGCCCCAGCAGACGAATACAGAGCCACCCTGGAGAGCTTTTCTCTTTAAAGCGTTTTCAACGTTCCCCCCACGGTTTGATGTATACTAGTGAGTGGGACAGTTATGAAGAACTGTCCAAAGTGAGCAGACGTTCCGAAAGGGCAGTGGGCCCCGCTGGGCTCAGCGAGTCTCATGGACAGCCTGACCATCACCGCCTGTCTCCGGTTCCCTTCAGGGAGCCATGACATCGCAGGATGCAGTGTTTCTGTCACACCTTTCTTTTAAAAAATGTTTTATTGATTTCAGAGAGAGGAATAGAAACATCGATGATTTACACCCCCTGCTGGGGATGGAGCCCACAACCCGAGTATGTGCCCTGACTGGGAATCGAACCGTGACCTCCTGGCTCATAGGCTGATGCTCAATCACTGAGGCTTTGAAGAAAGCAGTTCATAGACCAGAGCCCACTGCACCCGACACCCACCAAATCCTTTTCCTTGACCCGAATCTGCTTCATAACCATTGTTAGGGGAAGACTCGAAAGTGAAATGGCACAAGCCACCAGCAGAGGGCACGCGTGCACTGCAGGGGACCCTCCTCTAGGGGCAAGAGGGACAAAAAGGGGATGAGAGGGAAGCCTTCCGTGAGGCGTCATTGTGTGGGCAGCAGAGATGGCCCCTCAGCCTCCATCGGAGTGACCTGTCTTCCAGTGGGAAAGCTGACCTGAGGACGATGTTCACAAGTCAAACCTGGCCAGTGTTAGCCATCCACTGAGCCCTGGCCCTGTGCCAGGCCCTCTCTGCAGGTGAGGCACTGAGCCAGTGCTCCAGTCCCGCATCATCCATAGAGCTGGGGTGACACAGCCACGTGGACATGGGTGGGGGCTCATCGCAAACCCCCGGTGCCTGGAACAGGGCCTGCCGCACCCAGGCCCTCAGTAGACACACATGGACTAAACAGGGGGAAAGCTGAGAAACCCTCAGAACTAAGGTGCCGCTCAGGTTGGAAAGGAAGGGAGAGGGGGTGGCTGCCTGTATTGATGATGGAGGAAAAGGTGCTAACAGGCTGAGGCGGAAGGTTCCCACAGTGAGAGGTGTCCCTGGGGGGCAGACCTGAGGACAGGGGGGCTGGAAGACCCTTCTCGACCAGGAGGGATGCTGGGTGTGCAGGCTCCACAGGCCCAGCTCTGTGACCGCAGGATGGAAGGCACGCTCTTCTGTCTTCCATGTAGGAGGCCACAGCTCCTTCTGCACAGGCGCCGCCCGCCGGGATCCTCACGGCTCCTCTCCTTTAGGTGACGGCGGCGGGGAAGCCATCGAGACACTGCTTGTCGCTGAGAATCTCAGGGTGCAGAGGCCTGGGTTCTCCCAGAGAGCATCGCCTCGGCTGGGCTCCCCGGTCACGTCCTTGGCTCCCAGGATAGAAGGGAGGATGCTCGGGCGGATTTCCTGGACGGCCCCGAGGCATGTAGAACGTCAGTGCCAATGGCAGGTGCCGGTCCCCGCGGAGGGGCCGTCCACGCAGATGCCGGGCGCTACTCTGTGCCGGCTTTGGTCTTGCCCCGGGGGGTCTGAGAGAAGACGCCACCGGATGACGGGCAGAGCCCCCGCTGATGCCAGCCTGGCACAGCCTCCGACAACGGCAGGAAGACCGAGCCCGCTAACCCACGGCTGTTTGCTCTGACAGCCTGTGGAGCCAGGCCTGGCCTTTGTTTCAGCTGAGCTGCCTGGGCCCGTGATTGCCCGCTGCGCCCGCTGCGCCCGCGGCAGGGGCACTTCCTGAGTCCTCGGGTGGCCGAGTCCTGGGGGGACACCGGCAGCGTGAGTCACTGCCCGCACCCGGACGCGTCAAGGCCGCGCTGCTGTGGGTCAGCGGCCCGCTGGGGACTCAGAGCATGAACCCACCCAGGCTTTCTGATGCAAACCTGACCACACCCTGGTGCCAGAGAGAAACGGGGAGTGCCTGCGGTTATCAGAGCAGCAAAGACCTGGCGGGTTTCCTCTGTTTCCACGTTAAAAAAAAAGGGGGGGGGGAGCTTGAGATCAAGAGCAATAGGAATGGCCACAGGTTCTAAAAGCCATCCAGCCACCCTTTGAATAGGTCACAGACTAGCTATAGGCGAACAGTTTCCCACCTAGCTGCTCCTGTCTCAGCCCAGAGACTCATCTTTTCAGGAGAACGCGGGTCCCAGCACATCCTGGCCCCGGACGGAAGCCGCATTTTGATGTTCATAGCAGGTGGAAGACGGAAACAACCCACGTGCCCACTGGCGGATGGACAGGTAAACCAAACTGGGGGATGGACAGGCAGTAAATGTTCAGGGTGGGGCAGCAGTAGGTGTACAGTTGTTTGTGTGGGAAATAATTCAATAACATGTAATCATGCAAGGATAAACTGTGTTTCGAATACCCACAACTATAAGCCTACTTTTGCTTCGCCTTATATGCAACGGTATGGCATCTGGCTTTAAAAAGAAGGAAATCCTGGCACGTGCTACAACATAAAGGAAACTTGAGGACATTGGGCTAAATGAAATAAGCCAGACACAAAAGGGCAAAGACTTTAAGACTCTACTTCTAAGAGGTCCCTAGAGCAGTCACTTTATGCAGATGCATAAAAAGATCCAAAACTAATGAAGATGAAAAGCTAATAGAGACAGGAATGGATGGAGGTTCCCAGGCATTGGGGGTGGGGGTAAGGGGAGCAGGGAGAGTTAGTGGTTCAGGGGACAGAATCTCAGTTTGGGATGACACAGTTCTGCAGATGGAGGGCGGTGATGGTCGCACAACCAAGTGAAAGTACTTCATGCCACTGACACTCACACTTAGAAATGGCTAGGATGGTACATTTTATGTTATGTGCATTTTACTGCAACAAAACAATCTCAAATGTAAGACTGTAGAGTTTGGCCAAATTATTTTTGTAGTCGCTTCTTCATTAATTGACTACATTGTGAGGGGCCAAAGTAACAAGAAAAATGCTGAGAAAGCTAGAGGATATTGGTCAGAGCTCAAAAACGTGAGAGAATTCCAGGCTGCGAGCCCTCACCAGAGAAGGCCGGCACCCCGAAAACCCGAGCCCAGCTGAACCATCCCGGCTTCGCCGCCCGGCAAAGCGTGCACAGATCTGCCTTTTCATGTGCTTCAATCCCTCTGGAATCTTCCGAGGCAACTCCCGTCCACCAGCACCAATGGGCTTGGTTCTCGAAGTCAGCGAGCCCCCAGGCACTGAGGGCGGCACTGTTGGTCCCCATCGGGTGATGTGTGATGAGCTGTCTGAGGCCCTGCAGCTGCTGAAGGACCGAGATGAAAAGCAGCTTATCGGAGAGCTCTGGCCCTCAGCCTTCTCTCCTTCACAAGATGAGCGGGTGTAGAGACCCAGGTGGCAGCAGCAGGTGGCACAGCTGAGGCGGCGTCATGGATCCCCCCAACCCTTTCCAGCACCGACAGGCAGAGCCGCACAGCCGATGCTGTGGGTCCCGAATGCTAGATACGCAGAGACAAGGAGGTCCCTGTGCACGGGCGCCAGACCAGCCCGCAGGACAGAGATGCTGGCAGAGCCCACCCCGCCCGCCCTGCAGAAGCCGGAGCCTTGGCCCCGCCCCAGAGAAAGACCAGTTCCTACCTCTCAGGGTTTCCTGCAAGGCCGGGGCAAAGCTGGCCCCGCGGGGGCCGTCGCTGTGATTCCTGCTGGGGTTCTCCCCCGCCGGGAGGGGCAGGGTCGCCAGGTGAAGGTTCACGAGAGTCAAGTCATGACTTCCCACCTGGACAGGAGGAGACAAAGCAACAGGGACGGGCTTAGATGCTTCTATTCCCGGTTCCCGTGAAGACCGACTCGCCGTAGTTCATACAGAATGTGGACAGCAGGAGGCGAGGCGGGCGTCCCTGTGAGACGGGTCAGGGGCACCTGCAGGGTGAGCCCTGTATGTTCTCTCATCCCCCACGCCCTGCAGGGCACCCCCCCTGCTGGGCCTGGGCAGGTGGCCCATTTGGAATGCCAGGGCTTTCCCTTCTAAGCAACTACAAGGGAGGGGCGGCAGCTCTCGCAGCTGCTTGTTAGCAACATCCAGGGTCTTCCCCGGGGTGGGGGCTGCCTGGATCCTCTGCAGGCCCCACTGTGGGCCCGCCCCTTCCCCTCCCCCATGCATCCCCCACCTCGGTGCCTTCTTCCCCCTGGAGGCCCTGCGTCTGGTGTTTGAAGTTCGCTTTCACCTGCTGCACAGTCCTGCGTCCCCAGGAGGGGCCGTGGGGTGCAGGGGGGCTGGTCCCTGAGCTCGTACTGTTGCTTGGCTGCTAGGGCTTGGCAATCCTGACTTCCGTCTGTCACGGCAACCACACTACACACTGATCGGAAGGGGGTGGTGGTGCGGGGGCCCCGGGAAGTGGCGGCTGGCAGTTTCACAGATGTGAGCCCAGCCTGCCCCCACCCCCCGCCGGGAGGTCTCTGCAGCTGTGGCTCTGACCGCAGAGGCCCCTCTTCATGTGGGCAGGGAAACCCCGCCTGGGGAGCCCCGGGAGAGAAGCCACGCCTCTGTCCTATGCGCCTGCCTGGCCTGGAATGGGGCCCGAAGCGCCTGACTAGGGGCCGCTTCATCTGGAGAATGTGGGCCGATCGTTCCGACAGGAGGGCATTTTCTCACTGGCCATTAAGGACGGCCCGCCTCTCACAGACACCACGGGCTCTGGTTGTCGCCCGCATGGCCGAAGCTGGTACAACCACTGAACGTAAAAAGGGATCCGCTGTTGTGAGGAGGGTTTAAAGATGATACCAGCTGCTCTCCACATCGGTACCATGAGCACCCCCCTCCAGACACCCCCAGGTGTGTGTTCAGGAATCCCTGCAACTCTACACCCACAGGTGGGAGAAGGGCATGAGCCCCAACACAGGCAGCCCACCCCCAATGCAGGGCTGCCCACCCGCCAGTGGACCCGGGGCCCAGAGAGAAACTGCTGGGTGGGGGCAGCTCTCAGGCTCGGACCTGCTCTGCAGCCCATGGAAGGGGTGGCCCTGACGCCCAGCAGGCGGCCTGCCAGCTCTGAGTGAGGGACCCTACCTGCTGGACCCTGTGAGTCACAGGTCAGTGCCGTGGGGGTCAGGTCAATGGACTGCCAACTCCGTGGTCTGTCCTGGCCGCTGGCCTCTCCTCCCCCCGCCGCCCAGCACCTGACCGCCTGCCGTCCATCAACTCTGCCGGGGCATCCGGGACCTGAGAGGCAGCTCCGCCAGGCCTGCTGGCTGCTCTTGCCTCTGGTGGGACAGACACTCGCACAGGCGAGGGAGCATCTGCAGCTGTCCTGGGCCCACACCCCAGAGGCCCCTCCTAAGCCCCCTCCAAACCCAAATGATCCCCTGAGGGCCTCCTTCTGCCTGGTAAGGAGGAGGAGGGCCTCAGCTGCCCGGCCCCTGACCCAGCGCTCTGTGTGTGGGGTGGGGGGGGGGGGGGGAGGTGCTTGAGAAGCTGGCCAGTCCTGGGCCCTGTCCCGGAGGGAAACTCCGTAAGGCTCGGGGTCCAGGAGTCCCCGAGTGTAAGGAAGTCTCCCCAGGGGATTTGGTGTGTCAGGTTTGGGGGCCAGCGCCTGCCATCCCTCCTGCCCAGATGTGGGGATTCTCAGAGCCCGGGTCCCCCCGAACCCCTCATTCCTGCCCTGGGCAAGGTCACTGCCAAGTGAAACCCAGGAGGCAAGCCAGCCAGGCTTCCCTGGCTCCCAGCTCACAGGGACAGTCCCCTTTAGGAGAAGCGGGCCTTCGCGGTGACGCGGAGCGGGTACCTTGAAGCGCGCCAGGTACGGGCTGGGGCCTGCGGGCTTCCCGTGCCCGTTGCCCGGGGAGCTCTCCTGCGAGGCGGCGTCTCTCAGCTCCACCCCGGCCGCCACGTCCCACAGGAACCCCGAGAAGCCGGCCCCCTGCGGAGAAGAGAGGTGTTAGTTTGGAGAGGTGGGTCTCAGGGCTGGGGACCCGGGGGACGAGGCCGGAAGTCCTGGGTTACACACTCAGGGGCTGTTCCTGAAGCAAATCTTACCCTCCAGGCGTCTCATACCACCAGTTTCCCAATTCCCAGGGCTTTCCAGACAGCCCAGTGCCTGGGTGCTTCTCTGGTGTGGGTGGGGTGCCTTTCTAATCATCCCATCCTGCGAGGTAGCTACTCCCTCCCCCACGGGCCAGAGGAGGCCAGACTAGGCTGCTCAGAGAGGGTAAGTAAGTCCCCTGAAACCCCACGGCTGGTAGATGGCAATGCTGAGAACCCAAACAGGAAGACTCCAAGGGCTGGGTGTGCTGACCGGTTACCTGCTGCTCACAACACATGGGGCCTGGTAGACGCTCCCTAAATATTTACAGGTGAATGGGGGTCGGGGCTAACAGTGCCAATGCAGGAACCAGTCAAGCCCTCACAGGTGGACAGGACCCCAGGGTCTGCAGCCGGGAGCAGGCGCTGTGAGGGCCGGAAGGGGCAGGCAGACAGGGCCGTGTTGGCAGCATGCGGTGTTTGGGGCTGCCCTTGCCACCCCTGGCAGTAGGCGGGGAGGGGTACTTGTTGAAGGGATGACTATAGAGTGTTAAAGGGACTGTAAGAGCATCATGAACCTGCGTATCTGTAAAGTGTTATTAGCAACAACAACAAAGCAAGGTGCTATGATCTCTATGTGGACTGAGGAGGGAGACCCATGGGCCAGAGTGGTAAAATCGAGACCTAGTCCATCCAATTCAGCACTATTCCCAGCCTACGGTGAGCGTACAGGGCTGCCTCCCACAGTAACTACCTCCACCCCAACACATAAAACCCAGAGAAATGAGGTTTATGGCACGTGTTTAAGTAGTAGCTAAAAAGAGAGCTGATGGTCAGCAAAGGCTGGGAACTGTTACCCAGGACACAGTTATCATGCAAAAGCCCCGAATCTCGCCCTGACCGGTTTGGCTCAGTGGATAGAGCGTCGGCCTGCGGACTGAGGAGTCCTAGGTTCGATTCCAGTCAAGGGCATGTACCTTGGTTGCAGGCACATCCCCCGTGGGGGGTGTGCAGGAGGCAGCTGGTCAGTATTTCTCTTTCATCGATGTTTCTAACTCTCTATCCCTCTCCCTTCCTCTCTGTAAAAAATCAATAAAATATATTAAAAAAAAAAAAGCCCCGAATCTCAATGCCACTCACAGAAGGACAATGCCTATGTCCTTTATAAGCACATTTGCTATATTGGAGATAACATGATAACATCTGCATTTATAGGGAAATTATGTGATGACACAGTTTCCAAGCCACGATTAACTAACAAAAGTCTATGTTAAAATCTAAAACTCCACAGATATCGAACCTTCCAAGTGAGCAAAAACTGGTCTTCTGTGTGATGTGTTTGAGTGCAGAGGTATACAGACAGCCACATGGGTGACGCTAATGAGAGACAATGGGAAATTAAAACCCGCTGAGCGCTGCCACCATTTTCAGTTTCCAGCACCCAGAGCGCGCCCTTGGCGAGTGAATTAAGTGGCTCCCAAGTTTTCAGTCCACCAGCAGCCGGCTCTCCGTAAGCTCGGCAGAGGACAAAGGACAGAAACACCCCATTTGTTGCCTCAGCTCCAGACAGGGTTTCTGCCCCCTCCCAGCGCCCCAAACTCCATTTCCGCCTGGGGAGCCGTCCGTTCCGATCTCAGCACAGACTGAGAACCGGGCGTTTAGAAATGAGTGGAAAAAGTAGGCAGAAAGACAAAGCGACATCCAGGACGATGGCCAAGGAAATTACTAAAGGTCTGTGACGAGGGGGAAAAGGACGTTTCCGTTAAATGCGAAGAAAAGGCCCGCTTGGGGGAGGAGGGTACCTTCTGGAGCTGAGTCGAGGGCGTGTCGGCGACCACGGCCTTCCAGCATCCCCGCGGCCCTGTCCACCTGCGGATGTTGGGCAGGACCGGCTGGTTGAGCTCCGCACAGAACTGCAAAGACAGAGCAGACGGTCAGTGAGGCAGGGGGCCCGGAGCCAGCGTGCGGGGTCTGACGCAGCGTCCTCACGCGGGCTCCATCGCGGTGCCAGGCCCCGGGTGGCGACACCCAGGCACCGCACCTCGAAAAGCAGACTGTCCGTCTGTGAAGCGCACAGTGATCCCCAGGGGACTCTTTTGTAGCCTTCGGGCACACACAGTGCAGAACGCGTCGTCACAGCCTTCGTGTCCTTGCAAAACTAGTGCAGCCGAGGTCCCAGGAGGGCCCGGGTCGGCGCCCATGCAGGGAGAGCGGGTGGCTGTGCGGTGGCCTTTTCTCCCGGGCTTGGCTAGGAGGTGCAAACACCGACCCCAGCTCCCTCCCGACCGCCACACCGTTCACCCTGGTTTCGTCGGAGAAAGCCCTGCTGTTGTGGGCGGCTTCGTGCCAGGACCTGCGGACACCTGACAACAGGTGGCTCCCCTGTTCACACCGGATACCCGAGCCCAACCGACAGTCCCCTTCGCAGGGATGCCACTTTGATCGGAGGGCGGCCACGAGAGAGGTGATCCCGGGTCACAGCTTCCCATGTTCACCCCCCAAAGACAGCCTTGGGTAACTCAGGTGGGGCCGGTCGGAGCACAGTCAGGATCATCTGGGAACTTAGGGGACATGCAGATTCCCCGGCCCCGCCCGGACCCACGGAATCCACAGAGTCTCTGGGTGGGGCCCAGCATGCTGAGCCAAGTGCCGCAGGGAACAGCCAAGCCCAAGTGTGAGTTTAAGGTCAAGGTCACGCAGCTGGAAGTCAGAGGGAGGGATGAAGCCAGGTGCGCCTCCTGCCCTCTGCCTCACAGGGTGGGCCAGCCGGCCTGTACCAGTCCCCAGTCCTTCCTGCTGGAACCTCCAAGGAAAACAAAGGCACCCAAGAGCCCTCCCATCTGAACCCCGCCGTCCCGGCTTTATTCAGAACAGCTGGTTCCCCGCCCACTCATCAGGGGAAGAAATGCTGCTCTAGGAAGTTGGGCTGCTCCCCAGGGCAGGCGGTGGAGATGGAAAGGGGGAGGCGTGTGTGGCCGCAAACAGTCTCCCAGGTAACCGGGGCCTGCACACCTGAGCGCGCCTACGCTCCCCCTCCCCCCACACCAGCTGTGCCTCTAAAACCCCGGCGGCTAACCCACCCCCTGCTGCCGCCACGCGGGCAGAATCTCGCTGGTTCTTGTTGGTAAACCCACAGGTTTGTGGGCCCGTCCCTGACGGAACCGGAATCTCTGAGGGCCCAGCCAAGGTGTGCACTATGACGGTTCCCCAAGCAACCCTTTGGGGTTGGAGAAGCTGCGGACAAGGCCAGACATCGCTGACTTAGACTTGGCCGTCAGACTGCTGGTGTGCGGTCTGCACAGACAGCCTGGGTTATTCAACACAAGCAAATACCTTTTGGGCCCACCCCGCACCCCGAGACACTCTGCCTCTGGCTCTTCGCAGACAACCTGTGGGGTAAGGCGTCAGGGAGCCGGCACGGATGGCTCGCAGCAGGCCTGCCGCAGATACCTGCAGACAGATGACTCAAAGGGGCGTCCCTCTCCCACGGCTTCTCTCTCCCAGGACAAGTGACAGGAAGGACCACGGGCTAGACGTGAGCGGGTGACAGCACCTGGCCCACCACCAGCTAGGCAGACGGCAGAACCCAATCCCCCAACCCTTTGGGGTGGCCATAGGGGCCTCCAAGTCAGGAGTGGGAAAAGTGGAAAAATGGGGAAGGAAATACAAGATTCTCACAAACATTAAAATCTTTCCTCCCTCTTCCTCTGTCATGATTGCTGTGTGAACTCTATGAGGAAGGATTCCATCTGAAGGAACTCTTGCAAAACTGTCTGGAATAAAAGGTTTTTTAGAGAGAGAGAGAAGAAGGGGGGAAGAGAGAAACATCAATATAAGAGATAACATGGATCAGCTGCCTCCCGTATGCACCCTGACAGGGACGTGAACCCCCAAGCAACTGAGCCTCCCGGCCAGGGCAAGTTTACTTTTAAGATCTAGTAAATTAATCCATTAAGTTTGGGTAAATCCAAAAATAGTCAGAAAACACTGGTGGCCAACCTATGACCAGGTTCGCTTCTGAATCTTTAAACGACAGGATCAGAGCGGGAGGTGGGGGAGGGGAACCAGCATCTATTGAGTGCCAGGCACGGCTCATAGCCGGTCACAGGCGACCCTAATGACGACCGGAGAGGTCACAGGCCAAGCTCGCTCCCTGCCAGCAGGTGGGCCAGGCAGGGTGCAAGCCTAGGCTTGGCCAAGTCTAATGCTCAGTGCACTTAGGAGAGACTCTGGCTCAGGAAACACAAGTCAAACCCACGACCCACGCGATGTCACTGCGCCACCCGCATCACATGTTTTAGGTTCTCTGGAGCGAACCCATCACCTGCCAGAGTCAGTTTCATCATCGGTGTGTCGGCTGCAAGGTCCTGGGGACACAGCTCTCCCAGGGAGGCCAGCACGGCGGACTACAGCCTGTGGCACTGCCTCTAGCACGCCCCCAGTAGGGACCAGGCGCCTCAGCACACAGCCAAGGGTTTGCAGATTCGTAGGGCAGCCCTTGCTCTCCAAGCCCAGGCCCCGCTTTCATCCCTGGGGAGCAGTGATGAGCTCACAGTCCCTCAACCCCCTGCCCACCACCCCCTTCGAGGTCAGCTCCGAGAACACGCTCTTTCCACGGGGACCTGGAAGGAGCTGGGTGACGTATCCTTGCCCAAACCTTCTTATCGTGCAAGGAAGAAGGAAAGCAAACAAGGAGACATTTCCTCGGCCACCACCGCCAGCTGACCAGTAGCTGCTTTTACAGACAAGGTGGTGACACCACAGGCCCTCCTGTCAACAGATGGGCTGGTGTTTCCCATGTTTTCTGAACGAGGTGGTTAAAAATAAGCCGGGGGTGGGGGTTGGGGGAGGGAACTTTCAAGGGCAATTAAAATATTTCTTTTGCAAGGGCTACTGCTCACTGGAGAGTAAGGGGAAGTTAGAGATTCCGTGGAGATGAAAGTTAGAGCAGGGACGGAGGTGCACGAGCCACGGAACGCCGTGTGACATTCACTCCACGTGGCCACCACCCTGGCCATCCCTTCAGGGACGTGCCCACAGTCGCTCTCCTTCTCTGAGTCCTTGGATGTTAAGACTCTTAATCTTCGATGGGAGTTAAGACTGTGACGATAATGTTGTGCTCTTTTCCCCTTCTCTTTATTCTTTTTAGCCTATTTTTAAAAACATGGTTTTTAAAATTGATTTTAGAGAGGGAAGAAGGGAGAGGAAGAGAGAGAGAAACATCGATGAGAGAGAAACATCAATCAGCTGCCGCCTGCATGCCCCCGACTGGGGATTGAGCCACAACCCTGGCACATGCCCTGACTGGAAATCGAACTAGCGACCCTTCGGTGCTTGGGCCGACGCTCTAACCATAGGGCCACATCGGCCAGGGCTCAGGTCAATTTCTTTATGATTGACATAAAATTCACATATAAAAAAATTAACTATTTCAGAGTCCAGTTGAAAGTGCAGAATTCAGTGGCTTCACAGTGCTGTGTAGCCATCACCTCTGTCTCGTCCCCAGACATTTAGTCAGCCACAAAGAGAAGCCAGCAGCAATGAAGCAGTCCCTCCCCACCTCCTCTTCCAGCCCCTGGCTGCCCCCGTCTCTTCCGTCTCTAAGGACAGTTCAGATGAAAGGCTCGCACAATAGGGTGTCTGGCTTGTTCACTCAGCACAACGCTTAGGTTCATTGTTGGAGTGGGTGTTAGTTCATCACTCCTTCTTGGGGTTCAGTACTGCTCCGGGGCACGGAGGGGGCACATTCTGTGTGTCCACTCACCAGCGATGGCCACTGGAGCTGTGTCCGCCTTTTGGCTGCCGTAGCCTCTGCTGCTGTGAGCAGGCACACGTGTGTGTTTGAGGACCTACAGTCGCTTCTTTTAGGCCAAGATCGCTTATTTCCTAATCCTCTCAGGCCTGCCCACTGCCCTCCACAGCCTCTCGCCACCCTCGGCCCTCCCTGCATGCTCGCCGGTGTGTCTGTGACCTCGCCGGCCTGCGCCACCCTGCACTCCGCACGGAGGCCCCGCAGCCTTTTCTCATTCCAGGTCTCTTGTTCACACCGCTCAAGGATTTTGTGGTACAAAGTCCTTTCGGGGCACGCAGGGCCCAGCACGGCCAGGTCTCTGACCTTCCCTGTACACCCATCTCATCAGTCTGACCCTCAGCCTCTGTGCTGAGGCCACACTGACCTTTCTGTCCTGCAGACCAGCCGTGCTCCGTTCCACCACAGGCCCTTTGCACGTCCTGGGTTGTAGGCTTGATCCCTGGCCCTGGTCAGGGCACGTGCAGGAGGCAACCAATCGATGTGCCTCTCTCACATGTTTTTCTCTCTCTCTCTTCCTCCTTCCCTTCCACTCTCTCTAAAAACCAATGGAAAAATACCCCAGGTGAGGAGTAACAAAACTGACTTGGGCAATGGCCTTGATGTTTAAGCTGAAGCAAAGGAGCCACTCTTCCACACAGACACCAGGTGCTCCAGCCGTGGGGCCCGGGGCCAGGCGGGGAGCAGGGGCCGGTGCCCCCTCCTCGGGGACCTGCCACCGGCAGTTTATTCCAGCGTTCCCTCCGCTTGGTCACCGAGCACCTGGGAGAGGAATGTGCAGCCCAGTCATTTCTGGAACGTAGGCTTTTCAGAGCTCAAAAAAGACAGTTTGGGGACAAATAAAACAAGCGCTTCTTCCCAAATTAGGCATAAACTTGTGAGTAATGACTGAAACTAATTATTCCAAGGGGAGGCAAGTCTGAAAATAGCCGCGCGTTTTGGAGGGCTCGGGGCTATTTTCGGGGAGCGTAGGAAAGCTGCAGGCAGAGCCAAGCGCCCCGATCCCAGCAGAGGCCCCGGGGTGCCGCACGTGCCATTCCACGGGTGCCGATGTTTTCACGTCGCTTGAGAAACGTGCCAACAGCGACGGCCGAGGGGCCGGAT